CCATTTCGCTGTTCACAAGCCACTACTGCACTGTAGTATAGTCCATTGTGTGAAATGCTGCCCACCCAAAATCTCTAATTGCCCCCCCCCCCCAAACCTGACCAGTCCAGATCTAGGCCTGATAGCCACTGTCCACCCCCATCCTGAATGGGCAAGCCTGAGGTGTTCCCAAGAATAGTTTTTCCCAAACTGGCAGCCTTAATTAAGGCTCCTGTGTTTCTGACAGGTACATCGTGCCATCCCAGAAACACAAAATAAATCCCAATAAGCTGGTGGAGTGTAAATACTGTAAAGCTGCCCAGTTTCTAAAGGCCCCTTACTTTCCATCAAATATCAGTTTTTGCATTAATATTCAGGCAGAAATACCTTTTCTTAGGTATTAACTGGGTTATTATCATCTTTTGTCTCGTTCTGTGAAAGTCTACTTGAAGCAGCATGAGAAATTTAGCAAGATTCTCAGCCAGCAATATCATTTGCTGTGTACAGCTGTTAGAGAGAATTCAGCAGTCATACAATAATCAAGTAATGCTTTCATAAAAAACATATTTATCCGCGCCCCGAACTTCCGCAGACTTCCCTGTGCTGTTATTTTAGTGGGCTAGCCGCTCAAATCAGGCGAAATGAGATTTGGAGGCGGCGGCATGACGTGCTGAGACAGCGGCGTGTTTGCAGGCGAAGGGCGGGATGCAGTGGATTTTCAGCGCAATTGGAAGGTATTTCTGTGTGGAAAAAGAGAGTGTGTATGGTTAGGCCGCACAGCAGCTGCTCTGGAGACTCGCGTTGGTTTTGTCCTGGGAACAGAGACTTTGTCGTTAATAGATTTAGGTGAGTTATCTAGTTAAAAGTTTCAACTGTAATACTCTTTTGTCTTTAAAGATTCCTCTCTCTAGTGGCAAGTACAGGAAAATTTCCTCCTTATAGCCACCAAACTCACATGGATGAAACTTTCCTATACCAGCTTGTCTTATGCAGGGTCACAAGGGTTCAGAGCCAATCCTTGAAGCTATGGGCACAAGGCAAGGAATAACCCGGGATGGGATGCCAACCCATCACAGGGCACACATATATACACACTGAGGTTTGTAATTGTATCTTTGTGGGGACTCTCCATTCATTTCTCTGGGGAAAACTCTAATCCCAACATGATGACCTCAACCCCTACTCAGCCCTAACCTTAACTGTAAGTAACCAAACAAAATATATATGAGACTTTTGGCATTTTTAGTTTTTTGATTGCATTAACAGATCTTTGTGGGGACCTGAAAAATGATCCCCACAACGTCAAAATAACAGGTTTTTATTACATTGTGGGGATATAAACCTAATCCACACACACACACACACACACACACACACACAGGTTTGTAACTATATCTTTGTGGGGACTCTCCATTCATTTCCATGGGGAAAACTCTAATCACAAGCATGACGACATTAACCCCTACCCAGCCCTAACCTTAACCACAAGTAACCAAACAAAAGATGAGACTTTTGGCTTTTCTGATTGCATTCACAGATCTTTGTGGAGACCTGAAAAATGGTACCCACAACATAAAAAACAGGTTTTTATTACATTGCGGGGGACATTTGGTCTCCTTAAAGTAATATAAACTTAATCCACCCACACACACACAGACAATTTGGTCCCTGGAGGAAACCCCACGATGGAGAACATGCAAAGTCCACAAACACGGAGCCTGAGAGGAGACCGCTTTTGTGCAACTAGCTTATTATTTATTTATTTTTTTATTGTCTTGTTTGTATTGCTCTGTTGCAATCTGTTATGTTTATCACCCATTTTTTTGGATGATACTATTGTCTGCTGTATCTAGTGTCGTTAACGTATGCTTGTTTAGTACTGTTATTTTCATTTTTTAATTCTTGAGACTACACTTTCACAACATGCCAAATTCCTCTTACACGCGTATGTACTTGGCGGTAATAAAACTGATTGTGATTCTGAAAATACTGGTAAGACTGTAAAATGGTCATTTAAAAAGAAGATTCTGAAGAGTCACAAAAAATATTTTCTCAGTGTGGAAAGCTCACAACGCCAGGTCTAAGCCTACGGGGCTCTGGAGAAACACCTTCTCTCTACCCAAGCAGACAAAGTTTGGGAAAGGACCAGGCCTGCGGGTGGGGGGGGGGGGGGGGTACTAGCAAACGTTACCCAACAGTGGGGTGATAAATCAGTGGCTGAGAGCCTGGAATAACACCAGGCACTGGGCATCTCCATCACGCCTCAGCTAATATCAGAGTTACATCTTTGGAATGATTTTGAGATAGAGAACCAATGTCTGCCCATCTGGCATCTGTCACTTTTTCAGTTATGTACGTTTATTGATTTAGCAAAACTTGTTCCACACTAAGAACCTCAAAACAACAGTCAGGCATGGTGGTAGCATCAGTTTGTTTCGGGATGCTTTGCATCAGAACCTGGAGAACATTCCACCAGAAAAGAAAGGGCTCGTTGTGTTCTGGACCAAAAGCCTCCACAAGCCATTTGCTCATGAGCTGATGCTCGAGCCTCAGAGGTCACGCGGCAAGACCGACTAGCAAGCGAAAGGAGGGTGGTGTATGGTTGGAGAACAGGAGCCAGTCTGCTTGAGTTCAGACCTGAAGGCCGTCGAGATATGAAAAGCTGGGACGAGTAGCACACCCTGGTGAATTTCTGCCAGTTGAAGCAGCTCCATATTAGGGTGTGGCCGACGTTTCTCTAAGGAGCAACCAGAGAGCGATCAATAACTGCAGGAGATGTGCACTCGCTGTCTTTGTTGCTGAAAGTTCTGTAACAAATACCTGAGCACAAGTGGGTGGTTATCACTTCCCACTTATGTATTTTTATTTTTCCGTGAGAAGTAGTCTGGGGGCTTTTTATCACCTGAAAAAGATCAGAGAAAAACAACTCAGAGAACGTAGGCATCTAAGGGCATCCTGATCACAGCGCACATAATAAACCCATCATCAAAAGCTCAGTAACTTAAAACTGAGTCGCGATGCCAGCTTGGATGTCATTGGAGTACCGTCAAATTTTATTCATTCTGAACTTTGAAACCTATAAACAGAAAAATGCTAAATATGTACCCACATTGCTTGTTTTTTAAAAAAGCTTTTTTTTGTCCAATCACATGTTCTTAGAATATTAGCATCTGATTATAAATAAAGAAAATCAAATAAGTAAATAAATAATCAGGCAGATTGAGCACATCACCTTGTCCCGCCCCTCCACAAAAAAAAAAAAAAAACAATTATTTTGTCGTATTAATAATAACTTCAAAAAGTTCGGCATGGCCCAAGGTGACTGTTCACTGATTTCAGAGAGTGAAATCCCTGCTCTATGTTTCGCCAGCGTGGACCAGCCTGCTTGCTCGGCCTTATGTAACAGCGGTGTTGACACAAACAGATGGAACTTAACCCAGGACATGCTGTGAAACAGCCGGAGAAAGACAGCCATATTTTACATCTTAATACCCCCACCGAGGGCAGGATGGAGCGCACATGCCTCTGCATGTGTTCACGCTTTCCTCCGCACGCGAGTGACCTCACACTCTGCTGTCCTGCTGGATTATGTGGCCGCAGCACGGGTCTCTGAAGTACCTTGTGATTTTAACTCATTTCTCCCCCTGGCTGTTATTACTAAATGGGCCTCACTGAGAAGTACAATGGCCGCCCCCTCCCAGGATGCATGTGGCATCTACATTTTCAGCTTAGCTGAGCAATTGGCTCAAAGTCCACTGACATTAATGTCTGTCGTCCCACGTGTCCAATCATGTGATATACGTTTTTTGAAAAAGTAGGGTCAGACAGTCCCTGGAGCAATTGAGGGCTAAAGGCCTTGCTCTGGGGCCCCCTGTTGGCCACAAACAATAGCAGATATAAAATAAATGAGTCCCTTATTAAGAAGATGTATTAAGTAACATGTTCTGCTAACCAGATAGCTAGCTACCATCTCCTGACTACTCGCTAGCTAATAGCAACCTTCAGATCACAGGCACCACATCCTAACCTGGTCCACACATCCCCCCCCCCCCCCCCTTTGCTAGGAAGTTTTCTTTAGTCCCAGAGTAATCTAATGTAAATGCAAGTCTCTCTCGTTCGTCATGACACGACCTGCTGTACTAATAAGAATCAAAGTAGCTAATGAAGTAACTCACTCCCTGGAGGATTCTATCACGCCAGTTCTTATTCCAGCCCATTAATGACACAAATTATGCAGAGCAATGTCGTTATTTTTAAAGTTTATTATTGAGAGATAAATTACAAAATGAATATTTGCCTCAATTTTAATTGACGTGGCAGAAAGCTTGTGCTTCTCCGCGGTGTTCCGAGAATGCGGGTATTAGAAAATCATGGAAAATTAACCGCTAATCGGATCAATTAAGTTGGAAGTTAGTTTGAGAATGGCAGACGTACATCTCTCCTTGAGCGGAGCCCGAGATGCGTGATGTTTGCAGATCCTACCTCTATGGCCCGTTTTAACCCAGGGTCACACCTGACATGATCACCGCGTTATGCATCCAAAGAAATTTTTTGGGATCGACCCTTGATCCGTCTTCCGCTTCCAGTGATTCCTTGCCACTTGTTACTTATTTACCTTTCCCCCCCCCCCAAACAAACAAGCAATAATAAGGAAACTTTTTTCCCCCAGCAATTTTTCATAAGCAACATTAAAGACGGTGCATAAATACAAGCAAGCCATAAACATACAGGGAAACAGGCGACACGAAATGTAATTCTGCAGGCCGACTGATATGACGCATCTCCTTGTCCTTCTTAATTAAAAACCACTGAGCTGGAGAGGAAGCAGAAGCCCCACCAGCAAGCTCACTTCACCCCACCCAACCCCCCCCCCACCCCCGACTTCATCTCGCAGTCTCTCAGAAGCCGGCGGGGAGCACAGGCCCCGATATAACAGCACGGCTCCCACTTCCTCTCCGGGTGGGCTGCTGCCCGATCCCTAGGGGGCGCTCTCAGCAGAAGCCTCCCAGTTTTGGAGGGTGCATAGCACTCGCCCACGTGACAGGAAGCTGGAAACGGAAGCTGGCTCTTTGGGGGAGTTTAGTAATGTTAGTAAGTGGTACATGAAGGGTCAGCAGGTCAGCACACTTCCCGGCTTCAATAAAGTTTGCTCTGGGTAAAAGCGTCTGTTTAGCAAGTATAAATTGGAAATTTAAATATCAGTCCTTGACCTGTTCACTGAGCGTATGCGAAAAAACCCAGATTAAAACCAGTCCTCACCGGCTGTTTTCACAGTCAGGAGGTCTAGGCGCCGCTGTGACTTTCAGCAAGTGCAACGTGGGACAGTCAGATGGACGAGGCCTTGAGCTCTGCCAACTAGGGGGGGCACTTCTTCCAGGGCCCCCCCACAGTCTGCCAGCTGTCAGGAGTGGCTCCGCCTGGGCACTGGCCTCCTGTACATCCCGCTCCTCATCCCTCGGGGGAGCTTCAAGAAAGTTGTAGAAGGTCAGTGATCCTGTCCTACCCTTTTGTCAGGGGAGGGGTCCAGTGAGTAAGGAATGGGGATGGAGGCCACAGCGATCCTTCATGCCAGCTCCAAGTTCACAGGGTCACCCAGCGAAGACCCTGCACCCCAAAACGAGGCGGTTGTCCTCCATGGGCTTGTCATCTCCACAGTGATTGCGCCACAAGCCTCTCCCCCAGCCAGCCAGCCAGCATCCTGGAAGTGTCGGAGATGTGAGCACTTATTAAAACATCCCAGAAGCTCTAATGAAGTCTGAAATACCAGATTACTGCCTTAATGCTCCTTACTGGCCAGGAAAAAAAAGACTCATTGGATGGTGAAATGAACCATCTGAAAGCTGGTGCAGGGCTTGCAGAACAAACGCCTCCTGAACCCCTTATAAATGGACACTGACAGGTTCTTGTTTATCTGATGGATGAAGACCCAGGCTCATTTTATCAAATCAGGAAGTTACTCAGAATCCAGATGAACCAAGGAAATAAACAAATCGCATTACCCCAGAGAAAAGAGAGACAATTGTTTTCACAATAGTTGCTGCATTTTAAGTTTGCATGAGGAGGAGATAAATCACCCGCTCAAGTTGATCATGAACTTTCGAAAACAGGCATATTACTCAAATTTAATCCATCACACACATCAGGTATTACAGGAGAGTTTTCTGACAAACATAGTTCCATTTATTAAACAGTCTGTTGTCAAAACCATCACCCAAGATTACTAAAGCTTGTGAAAGGTTTATCTTCCAGCCATAAAGCCAGGAAATGGTTTAGGTCTGATGCTTGGCTGTGTGAAACTCTCTAAACTTGATATTTACTTTGCCAATCTAATAAAAAATAAAGCGTTTTTGAGAGGAAAAGAAGAAAATGTAAATATATAGCTTGTGTGGGTAGCATGGTGTTTACCACCACTCAAACAACACATCTGTGTGGCCCTGGGGGGTTTGGGGCCCCGTTTTGGATACAAACAGTTACTGCACTAAATATTAAATAAAGTTCCTTATTTAGGAGACGCTGAAGCAGAACGTTCTGCTAACCAGCTAGCTAGCTACAATAATTTCAATCTACTAAATAACTATTTACTTTTTTTTATAATATCTGAGGGTGGGCAGGTGACCCCAAAGTGACATTTTAAGTGGGCCCCCAGAAAAAAACAATCCTGCCCTGTGTGGTTATGATGGCTCTGGTTCTATTGGGTATGTGAAGCATTGTGTGAAATACCCCTCCGTCACCTCCCCCAATACACGGTGCCACTCAGGTCTGCAGCATGACAGCACCTAAAAGGAGCTTTTGAAGGCTATTTTGGTGTAGTGATGAAATGGAAGAATCACCGGCAGAGACGGTGGCGTATTCTGTAAAAGGGGAGAAAGGCGTGTTTGTGTCTCCTGCAGTGAAGGTCTGTTTGGCAAATTGACATCAAAGCGCTTCAAACCGCGAGATCAAACGTGACAGTCTATCGTTATGGCAACTGCATAGTCGCATAAACCTTAAAGTGGTCGATATTCTTCCGAGGCTCTTGGGAAAAACGCCTCCAATACCCGTTATCCTGTCGATAAAGAAGCCAGTTTGGATTTAGATTGATCACTTCAAGTAAACTGCGTTTGAGGGAAGAGCTGACGTCTGGATCCTTTAAAGGCACCTTGTCCCAGGGAGGAGAGAAACGGTCCCGGTGCAGTTCCCGGACCCGCCTGGTGTGCAGGCCATCTTACCTTATTAGTCTTCTTAACTGATATTGAACTTCTGTCCATGTCTGTAGATTTGGTACATTTCTAACCTACCTGAATCTACTGTGATGACCCCATAACACATGTCTGCATATTTATCAAATTTATCAAATCTGTAAAGATCCTGCAGACCGGAATGTCAGTAATTCTTTTGGGACCCCCCCCCCCCCCTCAGGTTAAGTGCTAAGCTACTTGACCACCTTCAAGAAAAGCCTAAAAGCCTGTGTAGCTCCTGCTCCAGTGCTGCTTGCACATGTAGCTGGGTGTTCACTGGAAACCCAGCCTAACTACAAATATATCTGTAGGACTCCTCCTCAGTTGTATGTTTGCAATGTGCTGTTTGCCTCACTCTTTGAACAGATGTGTCTCTTAAATACGTTTATTTAAAGTGTAAGATCATCAACAAAAAATGGACTTTAGATCTGATAAATTACGGTCTGTGATCATCACACTTTGAGCATGCATAAGCCCACTGTCCTGGTTCTTGAAACTTACTGGTGCAGTTCAGTCCCATATGTAGTGTTGTAATTGCTCTGTGATCAATTGTTGTTGTCTTGATTTATGGCAACTGAGTGAAGAGGATGACTGATCAATTAATTGACTGCTGAATATATGATTAATCTAAAAAAAAAGAGTTAAATCAATCTGTACATAATACTACTGAGGTCGTCAACATCCCCCTGGGGTATTAAATACCAAGTGCCTTAAAATCCTTTGGGATTTAGGACCAATGTGTTTGTTTAATGTTTAGAGGCTGATTTTCTTACCTTTAAGTTGTTTTTTTTTCTTCAAGTTTCAATTCTTACTTGTTCTTGGAAGGAACAGTGAAATTCTTATGCCACGATTGCAGGATATGGGACAGGTGCATCAGGGAACAGGACAAAACAGCAGCACAGTACAAGACAAGGCAGCACAAAACAAAACAGTGCGATCAGTAATAAATATGTGCAATGGGGATACGGATGCAAACTGACTACAGCATAGTAAGATAAATGTGCTGGTTATGGTTCTGCTGTACACTGTCCTCGTGATATAAGCAAATGTAAATATATCGGCAAAAGCAGCTCTGCAGGGAATTTTGAAGGGACCCTGCTGTCCATCTCAGCTAAGGAAAGTCAAGCCCAGGCATCCGGTGAGGGGCTTGGAGATGTCTGCAGAAGGGTCAAGACCTCAAAAAAACATCAAACTGTTTCTGACATTTCTGGAGTGATTCCCCAGTAAGCCTTTCCTTCTGCTTGGGTTTAGCCTTGTTGTGCTCTAAAATAAACCTGTAACTAAACAAACGACCCCAACCAGTTGCCTTGGAGAGTGTCGTGACCTCTTCGACGTGATCAGTTGCGTTTGAGAAGGTGTCGCATACCTCAGGTATAGATATTCTTGCTTTATTTGGCTGTGCAGACACTGACGTCCATAACAACAACACACAGATTTTTAATCCTTTGCTAGTTTATGCAGGCCGATAAATTTAACAGCAGAGCCTTTCTGGGGATGTGAACCAGCAAGCATCTGGTGACTGGTTCTGTCTCCGCCCACTGTCGCCATGCCACCCAGCATTCACGCTCATCTCAGGCTCTGAATTTGACAGTGAATTTGCACCCCCTACTGAGCGTACAGTTTCCCTCCAAAAGTGCCGCCCACCCCATGTCCCCAATGGGCACAGACTCATTAGGCTGTCAGACAACAAAGTCCAACCCAGTGCACCCCCGCACCCACCCCCACCTCCCAGCCGCCACCTAGGGGAGAAACAGGAGATGCCCAGATGCGCGGAAAACGGAATCATTAGCTAGTCTGTTTGCAAGGCCCGACAACAAAATAGCTCAGCACCCCAAAATAGACCCATAACGTTGTCTTTATTAGACGGCCGATTAACATTACAGAGAAGAGGATGCGGTAGGCAGGACGTGAGAAATCGTGAGAAGATGCCAGTCTGCCTTTAAGAAACACCGATTTAAGGAGAAGCATTAATGATATCGTCTAAGTCACTCGCCCTATCTTGCCTTTTTATGCATTAGGCACTAAATCCAAAAGCAGGTTTGTTATTTCTGGGGCTCCATTTAAAAAGTTACTGTAAGAACGTATTATGTAATAATGCCACATTATGTAACAACTCGATAAAATGTAACAAATTTCCATCAGATAAATTTAGGTAAACTTTCACGGGTGTGTTTCCCGAAAGCTTCGTGACGCTAACTAGTTTGTTACCTCGTTCTTAAGATCATTGGTTAGTTAATGATTGTTTCTCAAAACCTTTGTAACTAAAGTACTTCATACATTAATGAGTGATCCGGCCCCTCCTTATTTTCTATGTCGTTCTTTATTTGAACTTTTGGCTGCTATTCTGTAACATAAACATAGTCACCCGAAATGGATCACAAAAATACACTGATGCTATATAAAATTATAATGTAGGCTATAAATGTGTTACATTTTTGTAAGTTATTACATGATGCTTTGTTGCGTCACTTTGAGGCCCTGTTCCCCCTAGTGTAGTGGTTGTTTGCCCAAAAGAGCCCCCCAAATGTCAAACTACAAATGCATGGTTTGAGTGAAGGTACACAGCACCTCCGTCCAACCCCAAAAACAGAAACGCAGGTATTGTCGAAAGAAAAAAACATACGGATTCTACAAGAGTTGATGTCACCTGTCAGTATTGAGAGATCGGCCATATTCCTCCTGCAAGCATCGGAATGAAAAGGCATTAATGTCTTTTCTACTTCAGTAAGAAAAAAAAGAAAAACAACGGCTGTTAACAACAAAAGCAACCTTGGCTATCACCATCAAAAAGCAGACATTTATCGTCTGTGGAATGCCTCTCAGGTCCCTGCATACGGTTCAAAACAATATATTCAAATTGAAGAGTTCCACACATAAATCTAAATCAACAGCCCATTTCAAATGTAAAATAATGGATTGTTTGAAGTGGGCTCCAGGTGCTTTCTGCGGAAGCTCAAACAGGACCCAGGCGAAAACAGAGTTAGTATCTGTGAGATTCAATGCTTAAATGGTCCTGCTGGTAAAAACATTCAAATACCAATGAAGCTGAATGTTCCGCCTCAATCCTTAAACGCTGAAATCCGACTCATTTGGTCTTTCAAAAAAGAGCTAGCAGGATTCCCAGCTATTGTTATCAACCATTACATGCAATTAAATCACCATGGTCCTAATGTGGTTTTAATATGTCCAATATCGGTTAACATTACAAGCATAATTATCCGACTGAATTAGGCCTCGAGCGCAGAGCATTAGAAATTAGATTCAGGCCCAATTAACACTTAGGAGCTGGGAGGGGTGAATGTCACCTGTGGTTGGGTGGAGCGATTTGCCAGCCTCGGGAATGCCCAATCACGGAGCAGAGGTAGGCGGGCTCTTTCCCTCAGAAAGCCAACATTGGGCGGAGGAGACGGCAGGTGGTCCAAATCCTACTCTCCAGCTCACTTCTGAGTCACATCCTTTTCTGAGAGTGACGGAAGGTTCTAAGCCCATAATACGGTTCCATGCTGCCAGCCTGAAGGTCCAAATAAATGCGTGAGAAGAAAAAAAAAACGTCTCGGGGGGGAAAAATTTTGGGAGTAACAAAAACGAAAGTGCACATTCTCCTGTGTGGGTATCTGAACCAGTACATCTGTGAGGCATGATCACGACACGAGACCGGCCCCACGAAAACTCAGGAGAGCCTCATGCATGTTAGTCTTAGAGCTTGGCGTGGCCATCAGGAGTAGAGGGGGGGTGGGCACATAGACTCACATCACACACCTCTGACTGCATCAATTTGAAGCACAACTTGGTCATGCTGTTAGTTCTCTTTCGGTTCCAGGATGAATTATTGGCATACCTAGTTTCCATGACAACCTGTCTTCCTTTGCCGGGCGGTCAGAGTGGCACTTTCACTGCCAGCTTTTTAGCGTTATTAATTATCGCAGCCTCAAATGTATGAACAGAAAAGGTGGGGACTTCAAACCGCTCTCTGTATGCCCCCTGCTTCTCTAGACGCGTGCTTACAGCACGCATAGAGAGAGGGATCATTCCGGAGTGGCAGGACAGTCGGCTTGAGAAGGGATTAGAACGTTCCAGACCATATGCTATCAGACAGACGGGAAAAGCATCGTTGAATGTTGCTTTAAGCTAAGTGTGCTTTTGAAGTGGCTGGGTAAACGAAGAGGTCGTTCACAATGCATCATGGGAGTGTTTGGATTCCCGAGCAAAACGCAAAAGGCCAACACTGCCCACAGATCTCGCGTTTTGAGCATCATCATGCTTGAGCTGTGGGTTAAATGGCACAGTGAGCAATCTGAGCTGCCCCGTCTGTAGCCCAGGGAGACTCTGCTGCTCAGTCAGCCTTGTAATGCTGCCCAGGATGAAGATGATCACCCCAGTAATCTTCTATGGTTTCAGAAGCATGGAATGCATTCAAAAAACGTGTTCAAGGCGGCTGTACGATCTCCATTCTGTTAACTGGGTGAGCACCGTCCATCTACTGTATATGTGACACTGAACTAGTTAAGAAAAAATATACAATATGCTTCATGTATAATATATATTTGCAAAGACAGCTAATAAACCTTATGTTGAAAAAAAAAATATGCAAAAATCTCTCCAACATTAGACAACCAGCTTCCTGTCTCTTGCGTTAAGGGAAAACAGTGGTGTCTATGGCAACTACCTTGGCGAGAGGCACTAAATCTGAAAGTTAACTTCAGTTACCAAACGCAGGATGACTGTGCCGTAACACCGGGGCCTTCGGGTCCAGCCGCAGTACCACACAACCGCAGTGTGAACAGAGGCCCGCGATTCCCACATGAAGAGGGTCTCGCGATTCCACCTCGCCGTGCCTCTATTTCAAGATCGCCTCCTCCACTCCCTTAATTCTTGCTCTCCGATGGACGTGTGCGAGATTTATACAGCTCCCCTCAAGGCCAGCGGCTCGATCGATATCCAAGTCGGAGGTTCCCTGTTTATAGAATCTACTCTTTATACATCTGCATAAAACTGTCGATGTCACTCAGATCTGCAGAGGATAATAGCGTCGGATTCTCCCACAGAGACACATTTTTAGAGCCCAAATAATGCCCGAAACGAGCTTTCATCTGTCACCTCTCTGCATCTCACTGCACAAGACTCCACCATCCTTATTCACGGTCATATGTCTTACTTAAGAGCGCATTCTGATGTCTACTAATTAAAATTGATTTGAAATGATTTAGCATGTCCGCAGTCGGAGAAAGTTTATGTACTGACACAGGCAACCCTTTAGGGATTCAATTGCTGTAAATAAGGTAAAATCCCAGCATTCCGAGTCTGAGTGCTGCTCTCCACTTAGCAAGCGATTCTGTTCACTTCTCACATTTCTAATGCAGCCCGTTTTTTTAGGATAACGCAGGATTAAACAGCTTCTGTACTGCCACCTTGCATCTCAGGGCCATGGAGCTGGAAACTTTCAAAATGCCTGAAAACAAAGAACAGGAGAAAATCACCGAACCCCAGCAGATCCTACCGCAGTGAGAAACCGAGGCTATTACACTACAACACTGCCCCCTGGTGGAAATGTAGAAGTGAAACTTTTTTTTCTTGAACATTTTAAAACAAGTACAGTATATAATACTTCTCCAATAGCCAGGAAGTTATGTCTGCGTTATCTCAAATGTATTTAATTTGAAATTTTATTCGGGAATATTCTCCGTATTGCTGTATAGTTAGATATATAAAACAGTCCCATGCTTTGAGCCCAAGGAGAGATGTTATTGTTTTAAAATGAATAAAATATAAATCAAGCTTTGATTTTCCCTTGCCAAGCTTTCCATCCCTTTCACGTTTGTCTCTTAGTTCAAGTAAAAGACAAATGCCTAAAATAATTATATCCTGTTAAGAGTTATCTTTAAGAAAAAATGAATTCCTGCATCAGTGTGGCAACAAAGAAACACAAAGAATGGAAAATGACTGCTTTTTGACATTATAAATCAAATTTTATTTACTACAAAACTTTTTTGAATAAGGTTTCACAGAGGATGGTCATTTACAGTGACTTTTCCAGATGAAACCAAAAGGCAAAAAAAAAACGCTGTGATCACAAAACCCTGAAAATATAATGTGGCAGCCAGCAAAACGGAAAGCAGAAAATGGCAGGGGACAGTGGCGGAGATTAAGCCATGGTGATCAGGTGATAGGTAATGTTAATACATGCCCGGGTTACTCAGGATGTAACTGGGCAACCTATGGTGTTTCGCCAGTGAATTATTAAAGGAGATGATGGGGGAGACCTGAGATGGCGATCATTTAAAGACAGCATTGACCAGCTAGCTGAATTTCCCTGAAGGAAATAATTAATAAAGTATCTATCGGTCTATCTAGCTGTGCTATGGAAATAACATGCAAAGCTGGGCAATCAGCATTCCTGGCCAGTTCTCAAACAGATTGCCAAGCTCAGAAGCGAACTGGTAAGTCATGCTGAAGATGTTTTCATAAGCTGAGGTTTTCATATCCAGCTGTTTTTTTGGCTTCAGTATGGCAGTGATGGGGGTCTTGGTGTATTGGAGCATCAGGAGCGACCAGAGAGTTGTCACTGGGCCTCAGAGGAGCAGGTGGGCTGAAGGTGGGATCCCACAAAGGTCTGGTAGCAGAGGAAGGATGAATGTTAAAGTCGAAGCTCTTTGGATCAGTTTGTTTATATAGTGTTGGAAAACCTCTGTCTTTACTTTTAGGTATTTCATAGACACTTTAATGAAAGCAACACACATTTGAGAAAGCAGGGTCAACCAGTCCCTGAAGCAACGGGGGATACGAACCTTGCTCACCAGCCAAGTGGTGACGTCACTCTGCTGATTATGGGATTTGAACCAGTGACCTTCCAATCACAGTGTTCTAACACACTGAGCTACACTCACCTTTCTAAATGCCTACAATTAACATTATGGCATATATATCATTGTGGTCGCTTCCATAAACATAACTTTGAACATAACGAGATAGTTCATCTATTTTCAGAATGGGAACTGATTTTAAATGGTCAGATGTTATCAACAATTGCCGGCAACCTCTGTGTCTGCAAAGCACTGTAACACTACAGGTGAGGTTGCCGTTTTCACCCAGAGGCAAGTAGAGATGGAAAATCACCTACAGGAAGAGCTAACCCTTCGACCAGCTTGTGTGTCACCAACACCCACCTCCAGGTCTCGGATAATAAACCAGTAATTACACTCAAACCTAAAGAAACTTGAAGCACACTTGGCAAGATTATTCAAGTTTAAAGTCTGGACTTCTCCAGCAATGCAGGGGTAAATCAACAAGTAAGAAAGAAACAAACAAATAAATGAAGTTTAGATAGGGTCTACAGGAATCTGTTGGAATTCATTTCTGTATATTAATCTGTGTATAAACCTTTCTGTCCACAAGATGGCAGTGCAGTATTTCCTGTGCCATTCTGCTCACAGTCTGCGTCATTGCAGTAACATTGTCTACAGCTGTGCACCTGCCGTAGTCATAGAATATAAGTAACCCCCCCCCCCCTCTCCCAGACAGGCTTCTCACAGGTACATTTTATTTGTTTATTGCGCTCCAGGAATACTATTACAAATATTTGAATCAGGTGGGAACATCAAAGAGGCATTTAAATAGGTGATCTCATCCATGTGGATTTCATGAGGTGTCTTGGGTCCTGCAGAAATGCGTCTAAACAAATGTGGGGAGGCACTCGCGTTCTGGGGATGGGCCACGGGGAAGATCCATAATTCATGGCAAAAGTAAATGGATAAACGCATGCAGTCAGGCCCTGCTTCTGTGTTCTTTGGGGGGGTTACCAGTGAATGGTCCCAGATAGAGGCCCCCCCCCCCCGCACCCTGGCATGAACACAAAGGACTCCGTTATGATGGTCTCCAGGAGGGGGGGGCAGCCAGGGATGGGGTACCGCTACCTGTTGGGGGACAGAGTGGGCCTTGTTGGACCGGGTCGGCCCAGCTGGGACGGGACAGAGGGGGCTCAGAGACGGGGAGGAAGCGGCACCGGAGGGCGGTACAGCGACGTGGGCGGGGATAAAGGCATGTCCGGCAAGATGGAGGGAGACAGACGAAACCTGTTCCTGGCAGAGGGCACGCCCCTGCACACACTCCTCTTTCAGCACGTCCCTTTGATTTTTTTAGCCGTTTATCACCTGTCAGATTTACTCTCAGACTGCAGACAGCAAGCATTAATACTTATTAAAAGATGACGCACCTAAAGTGATCACAAAAATAACCACATCTTCCTAATTACAGAAAGATCGTTTAAGCAAAGTATAGCTCTTCAAGGAGACGTACAGCCACTTACTGGCGGAGGAACAGGAATGCTATGCTTAAGAAGGTGGAGCAGAGACCAGCCTGCAGTTACAGGGAGACCCGGCAGACTACAACCAGAGGATGAGATGCAAAGGCCAGGAGGAGTGCTCTCACTGTCCAGCAGAGGGCAGCAGAGAAAGCTCTGGATCTGAAGTATCACTCTTCAAAAGGGGGCAGCGGAGAGGCAGTTCGGCTCAAGGAGTGTAACGCACCGACAACAAGGGGCAGCAGAGAGACAGCTCTGAAGGACGGCCAGGAACCGACGACGCGAGGGGTCGTCAGTGCGGGGTGACTGTGGGCCCCGGCAAATATCTCAACCCTGAGTAAGTTCCTGCATCTGAATTTCATCCAAAAGGAAGGTGAGATATTAAGGGTTTTATCAGGTTAATTTGTGAGTCTAAACAGCTTATGCTGCATGACTGAGAGTGATTGTGTTTGTGTGTATGAGAGCATCGTAACGGGGGGGCATGGGGGGTACCGGCGCGGGAGGACGGGGGGACCAGTCACCTCAAGAGGGAGGGGAAGGTGACTATAATGAGTCACGCTCATCATTTGCTATTTCACTTGTTCTAGACATACCAGTTCCTTCCCCAGTGTTCTGAAAATACGACCACCCCCACCCCTTGCTGGTTCTGGGCAAATTGGTTACTTCTCCAGTGTTCCAGATATACCCCCCTGAAGGGTATATCTCTCCCCCCTTCCCCCCAGAGTTCTGGATATACTTGCTCCTCCCTTCAGTGTTCTGGATATCCTGCCCCCTTCCATCAGTGTTCTGGATATACCGGTCCCTCCCCCCAGGGTTCTAGATATGCAGGCCCCTCCCCCCACTGTTCTGGATATACTGGCCCCTCCCCTCAGTGTTCTATATATAGCAGCCCCTCAAGCAGTGTTCTAAATATACCACATATACAGATTATACTGGCTTGAGAAAGAGGCTCATGTTGTCCTGTGATGTGCACCCCCCCCCCATTCATTGTAACTAAGGTCTGGTCTGACGATGAATCTCTATCACATGGTTCTGGGCCTAAAGCCTTCCTACAAGTTGCTAAAATTCTCTATTATTATCCAACCCTAACAATTACGCCACCTACAGGCTGAGCTGCATTCAATCACTAGCTGGACTGACTGGCTGGTGAGCGTGAGGGGAGCAGAGAGTGGGGAAGGGGACATACTGGCAGAGGCGTGAGCAGTTAGCAGCGAGAGCTGAACGAAGAGGAGGCTGATTCTGAACAGCAGGCGTGCAGCCTTGGGGAGTGACAGACAGCTGCTGTCGATGACGGCTGACGGTGATGGAGTCCGCCGGCAGAGAAGCGCCCGGCTGGCAGTGAGGGCGGCCCCCACGCCGGCACCATGGAAACATGTAAACCGTTACTGTTTGTCAAACTGGACCGGCTCTCTTCCGCCGTCCCGCTTCTCTCACACTTTCCAACACGTCATAAAATGGGGGTGTCATGTGCCACAACTAGCTTGGGGGGTTAGCTAACACCCACTTTGCATGCGGCGAAAATGCACTGGACCGGACTTCAGGACTGCAGTGTCATTCAGAGGGAAGCAGAGATGAAACACAGCCATCTCTTGGGGTTTGGCTATCGCTGGTCATTAATCATTATTATTGGAATGAAGGAAAAAAAACAAATAAATGACTTTTGTACCTTCTTACAGTACATCGAAAGTCACTGCCTCCTAGATTCAATCCTTACTGCATTTTTAAATAGCTATAGAAAGAGAGAGAGAGAGAGAGATGAAGCGAAATAAAAACTGAGGTGGGATTAACCTGCAGGCACTGCGATTTACTCTATCATTATAATCACAGATAGGCAGACTCTGACTTACAAATATTACCCTCTCCAGTATGGCAAGTGTGCCTGTTTGTAATTCTGCTCCTGAATTTAGTGCTGTGGGCATCAAAATGATGCAATTCAGGACCATTCGGAGGAGGTGGGGTGTTGGAGGGAGCGGGGGTCTGTGGAAGAGAGAAGTCGATCTGGAATGGTCAAGCAGGTGCCAAGGGTCCCCAACCTAACTGGAGCTGATGGCAGTGTGAGGACCTTCTGGCCGTGAGAATGCTGTCTCATGGATTCAACTAAGTATAGTACTGAGTGGGGGGAGGGAGGGGTCGCGATCTCCTGCCTGTTGACCACTCCTCCTTAATCCTAAAGGTAGCAGGATCTCTTGTCCATGCTGCTGACTCTCCCCTTGAATTGGGGGAAGGGGGCTCAGTCAGCCTAAATCTCAGCCAATCCTTGTTCAGGGACTGCACGCCAGCCCTCCTGAGATTTGGCGAGAGGCTGTCATGTGACGGTAAGACAACTGTGTGCATGTACTAAATAACCATCCCGTCTGTCTGCATCACCGAGAGGAAAAGTGATGAAGGGCTTCTATATAGCGGAGAGTCGAAAAACTCCATGAACGACTTTAATCGAGAGCATTAGAACCATACAAACGCATAATTTGAGGAGTCAGTTGATCAA